TGTGGTGCGAAGCAATGGGCTAGGTGTTGACCTGGGCGAAGGGAGAGAGGCTTCTACAGGAGGGAGAAGCAAAATCAAAGAAGAGGTATAGGCAGATATCAAGGAGTTCAATACAGAAGACAATGTTTTGAAACTGATTTTGGTAACAATTGTAGAACACTATGTGATATCACTGAACTGTTGAATTGAACACTTCCACAGTATGATGTCTGGATTAGCTCCTAATAAAACGGTCCAAAAAAAAAAAAAAGCACAAACTCTGATGGCTATAGGGGCCAGGGGGTGTGGTGCGAAGCAATGGGCTAGGTGTTGACCTGGGCGAAGGGAGAGAGGCTTCTACAGGAGGGAGAAGCAAAATCAAAGAAGAGGTATAGGCAGGGCAAGCTTTGAAAAGGAATTTAAGTTGATGAACAAAAAATTCATGATCTAAAGTGTAAACCCCCACGTCATTCACAATAGAAAGATTTTGCTTGTTTGTTTAAGTAGGTAAAATGTTTTTGTCTACAGATCGACTGTGTCCTAAAATGAGCCCTGACAACAGAGGCGTCTTTGTGTCCCTCAGCAGAGACACTGCCGGGAGAGAGCAGTGCACATCCACTACCATCAAAGAGCAAGCAAAGGCTGGCCCTTCATCAGTTCTCACCCCGCTCCCCATCTGTCTGAGGTTCATACACATGCGCCGTGGTGCTGTCTAAATCGGATGACAGGTTTCTTTTGGTGTGTTAAATAAGAACAACTGACCTCCAGAAACATTGCCAGATAGACTCAAGAAAGACGAGAAAATAATCTCAGAAGCAATCACTGTGGGTCTTAACAGAGAAGAAAACAGTTGATGAGATAGGCTGCCGTTATGGAAGGGCCAAGAGGAACGCAGACTGAGGCGGGTGGGACAGAGTCTCAAGCAGACAGGGGTCCACACTCAAAGGAAACCAATCCCGGGTACCATGGGCGGCTGTGACTGACCTGGGACTGGGGCTCACAACTCCGTCAAAGAAGGACTCACCACCCCTCTAGCCTTGGTGTCCCTGGAGTCTATCGAGGCCGAGAGAGCCTGTCCCAATGAGGTCGCATCAGGTACTGAGCCAGGCAGATGTACAGAGATGCCCTGGTCACCTCTGCCCAACGCTAAGGGGCAAGACTTACTCTGCAGATCACCGTCAGGGTGGCCGAATGCTGCCAGCTGACCTACAGTGCAGCTTCAGGCTCGACCCACCTTGCATAAACCCTTCTTCTCTCACAGGTAACGAGCCCTACTAAGCATCCTGCCTCTCAAAATCCATCTTAGCTTCTCCCTCTAGAAAACCCACCGTGAGACAAACCACTGGTGGCAGAAGTCACCAACTCAAGGAAGCAGATCAGGCAGGGCCGTGGAGCTGAGTCATCGAACACCAGCTGACCATGAAGACCCCACCCTGGAGGCGGGTGAAGCAGGCAGCCCTGACACCGACAGCAGGCCAAGTCAAGCTTTCAAAAGATGGTGGCAGCTACCTCACTGGCAGTGAGTCGATTCTGACCCACAGTGAACCTACAGCTTCAGAGGCTGTGAATCTTTTTAGGAGCAAATAGCCTCACCTCTCTCCCATGGGGCTGCTGGTGGGTTTGAAGTGCCAACCTTGCACTTAGCAGTCTAAGGCATATCCGAGAGTGCCACCAGGGCTTCTTTAATGGGCCTGGGCATCACACCGAAAACCATCCTGCACTAGTGGGGGGGGGGTGATTAGTGACACCCTCAAGGAACTAAAGGATGTGGGGAGGATGGTTCTTTCATTTCTCTGTCAACTCACCATCTGGACGCTGGAGAAACCAGATGGATCCGCACGGCTACTGTAGACCATCACAATCCCAACCAACCGAGTACTCGTTCTGACGGTGGGCGCTGTGCCAACTGCCAGAGCTCAGTCGGCGCAGATGAAGAAGGCCTCAGAGACACGCTCTGCGGCCGAGATATGGTGGCTGGGGGCTCTTCTCTCACAATCAAAGCAAGGGACAGAGAGGGTGCACCGTCACAGGGAGCAGACCGCAGTGACCATTTACCGTTTGTTGCAGGGCTGTGCCAGCACCCCACCCTGCCATGGTGCTGGTGCTTTCCGCAGATGGTCACATGGGTTCCCGCTCACAGGGGCCCTATGTGACGCAGTCAAACTGCCCGCACGGTTTTCTTGGCTGTAATCTTTACATAAACAGATCGTCACATCTCTCTTCCACGGAGCCACTGGGTGGGTTTCACAGCCCAATGCTTAAAGCCATGGCATGCCTGGGTCATATTACAACCCCTAGTGCGCCCGACCGTACCGGCGTACTGCAGAGCAGCTGTCGGCCCACTACAGCTGAGCTACTGAGATGAGCCAGTCGGAAGCCTTAGCTAAGCACAGGTGCCCCAGAGGGCTGATGGCAAACCCTACAAAAGATGTAGGGGACCTACTACATCCACACCATTTTCAGAGGTGTGCCAAGAGTGAAAGACAAATCACTCTTTTATCCCCATCATGGAGATCACACAACACCTGTTGGGCCTCGTTAGGTTTGGAGGCACCACACTCCACCCCCAGGTATACTCCCCGGGCCCATTTACCGAGCAGCGGGAAGAACCGCCGGTGCTGAAAATGCCAGATGGGAAGGACCTCACAGCTGTGGACTGCGGTGCAAACATCCTGGCTGCCAGGCCAACAGGGCTGACAGACCCTACAGTCCTGCAGCTGGGACTCGTGGGACAGAGGCTGGGGAGTCTGTGACAAGGTCATGCAGGGAGGATCGCTATGCTAGTCCCGGGGCTTCAGGAGCACCGTCATGCCACCAACAGGGAAGAATTACATGCCTCGTGTACTGCAGGACCCAGGCCCAGAAACACCAAATAAACAGGTGACCAGAACCATTCGTTAAAGCTGAGTTCTGTCACACCCACCAAGGCATGAGGTTGGATGCAGGCGGTACCCGAGAATCAAGCACACATATAGAAGAGGACACTAGCAAGCTGCATCAGCAGGGGCCCAGACCCCTGGGTCCACCACTCTTGGACCAGCGCCCCTCCCACAGCGGATCACTAGGTATGTGAGTACGTAAGATAGCCACTTAGTGTGGAAAGAGAAGTGGCCTGAGGATGGCCTCTGGACAGACTCATGGGCAGAAACAATGGTCAGCCCGGCCCACCAGGGCCTAGAAAGGAAAGGATGGGGAGACCGATCGGAGAGAGATCCTGGGGAGCCGCGGCAGTGGGCACGAAGATCTCTCACAGGCGTGCCCTGATTTCTTGCTCGCTTTTACAGGCAAGGGAATAAAAGGGAATCAATCAGGGCTTTGAAGGATCAGTTGCTGCCTCGCCATCTTTACAATCGCTGTCACGGCCTCCAACGAGTTTTAAATAGAAATTACGGTTTTCCATAAACTATGGTTAAACACCATGGGCTGAAATCATAAAGGATAATCCATGATTAATGGAAATAGTTTCCAAAAATAAAAGATAACGGGGTGAGGGTATTAAGAGAAAGGAGAGAGTAGTTCTATTTTGCCTCTAAGCTGTATTCTGACCCCTTAGCCCTATTTGCACGGTCCCTGAACTGAGCAGCCGGCTGGGGAGGAGGGGGTAGCGGCAGTAAACCCATCACGTGTTACAGCTGAGTGGGAACAACGTACAAAAAAACAGGTGAGTCTAACCCCAGCCGCACCAGAGGGGAGGCACCCACAGAGAGCTGACGGCTGCCATACACACCCTGCAAAAGAGAAAGGCCCACGACTCGTAGTCCTTACTTAATCAGGTGGCTTCCCCGGGTTATTCTTA